CTCAAAGGCCTAATTTCAAAAATTTTCTTATTAATATTTTAAAAAATTGATATTAATCTTTTTGGCTTTTCTGTTGGAAGGATGTCAAGAGAAAGAAGAAAAATCAGCTAAATTATTTAAAATGTTTAATCAGTATCGTTTTTATCACTGCCATATGGCCCAGGATGATCTGATAAAAAGTCGTATATTCCGTGGAGGGCCCAATAACCTTATCTTCCCGTTAATCAACGGGAGTCCTTTGTCGGTAATTTTCAGCTACCTCTAGAGAGTGAGATTACATCAAGTTGAAGGTCCCCGGGCGTAAACGTTCAATTACATTAGGGCTTGGTAATTAGCTATCATTATCTTGTGTTTATATAATTTTGTAATTAGAGAAAATGAAAATTGGAAAAACCCTCGTTTTCGTGGAACCACTAAGTTTTTTCCCTGAGTACATGTTTTGTTTTTTATTCAGATATAGCAACTGCTACCTCTCAATATCAACTCAAGTTGATTTCTTCATAAGTTGATTATAATTTTTACTTTCACATAGCTATCTATGAATTATACCGTAAGGGTGAATTTTGTGATCTTGATAAATCTAGAATGTCAATTTTCTAATGCAAATACACCTTTTATGGTCCCCTAGTAGTAATGAATGTTTTAAAAACTTAAATACTTCTATTTATTTTTTTTATGTTGGCTTTTAAGACCTTTTAGATCATTGGCCGCCTGAACTACCAATGTGCAAGGTAAACCAATAAAACCAGGTAAACCCATATCGTCAGAGAGCGAACATTATATGGTCATGTTTAATCTCATTTTTTGAATCGAATACCATTTGGCTAGTTAAAATAATTATATCATATCGTCAAGGTTTGTTGCTATCAATGTCTCGTATGGAGGTACATCATGTGAAAATATGATTGTTTATATAAGGAGCCAGTATTGATTCTTCCGTAACTCATGTCTACAACGGTCAAACTGAAAAAATATTGGAGACTTGTAGAATAGAGAAAGACTTCTCACAAAGGAAAGAATGAAGAATAGTATGGTAGTATTTTTTGAGTTTGAAGAGATGCCTCTTGGAAGATCCATCTCACAGATAATCTCCAGAAACATGTCAGTTGCATATTCCGGTTGCTCTAGTACTCCCAAAGAATGTAGTCTGTTTACGAAATTCAAATTGAAAATGTAGATTTGGATTGTTTAAAATATGTTGCAACTGTCTATATTAACACTGTTCGTTACACTCATAAAAACCTAAATCAGTATTATCATTAAACAATAAATCAGTTGATTGATATGTTTGTCTCACATTGCTAGCCCGAATATAATTCTCTGATAATTTAGTATCTGTATTTGAACATTTACCATTCACGGCAGATGTCAAAAATATTTATACGAATTTATCAATTCTTCTAATAATTGTAACAAAATAAATAGTAAAATGTTTTTACTATTATCTCTGCCCCCCATCGCAACAGGAAACGGTACCGATAATAACATTTATCGCTAGGAAATATTTCAAAAACGCAAATGTCATTTATTTATTAATATATCTATCTATTGTCACAGCCTTATTAAATATGGTAATGATAATGTATATCAATTCGGTAAAATCAAGCAATAACATTAAAAATCAAGTGGAAAAATTAAATGATTGATTGTGAATGATTTCAACAAAGCAGCAAACATTCTTAATATTTTATAAAATAAGCTTAATATTTTTTTTCTGATAATGAAAAATATTAAATTATATATATATATATATATATATATATATATATATATATATATATATATATATATATATATATATATATATATATATAATGAAAGAAAAAAAACAAGGATCGAGAGCGGAAATAAATATTATTGGTCGCTCTGAAAGCTATCCCAAAATAAACAGATACCCCTAAATCTTAAAATAAGGATATATAAATTAATACTTCGTCCCATTACCATGTATGGTAGCGAAGCGTGGACCCTAACCAAGCAGCATGAGAGGTTGCTTAGTACGTGTGAGATAAAGATACAAAGAAGAATATACGGTCCAGACAAAGAAGAAGTTCATTACAGCATAAAAACCGATGGAGAACTTGAGGACTTAATGGGCAACCTGACTAGTGTTGCCCAAAATCTTGCAAGACCAAGACCAAGACTGCTTAATTGTAGCAAAACCAAGACCAAGACTGGTAAAAAAAAATAGATTTTTTGAATAAAAATTAAAGAAAAATAGTAACCAATAATTGACAATTTTTGTTAATATATTGGTATAACCAATATACTTTTGCATTTAATTCTACTAATTTTGCATTCGAGCTTAGTTAGGTATCTCCTATCTAAAAAATTACAGTAATATCTCTACATTAATAGGCTAGTAGATAAGTGCAAGACTCTTGCGTGAGACCAAGACTCCTCTTGGTCTAGCATTTGGGCACACTAAACCTGACATAGTTTCTTGCATTAAAAGGGGATAAGAAGATGACTGGGTCATGTTTATCGGATGGATCAAAAATACTCCCAAAGGAAATAAAGGAAGGACGTCCAGATGGAGAAAGAGGAAAAGGCAGACCTAGACTACGATGAACAGATGATGTAGAGGAAGACCCGAAGCGAATAGGTGTGATAGATTGGAGAGAAGCGGCAGAGGATTGGTCTGAGTGAAGGAGAATAGTCTAGGTGGCCAAGGTCCTTCATGGGCCATAGTCCCGAAGGGAGAAAAAGGTATATATTATTTAAAAGGTTTTCATTTACCTAAATAATTTTTAAAGGTTTCCTCAATTTAAAAAAAGAATTGTCTTGATTACGACGGTTATGAAGATAAGTTCGTAATATTGAACAACACAGAAATCATAGAAACAAATCTTTCGACGATTAGAGACTTTCCTTTTTAATTAATGGAATATTTAGTCTGAAATGAGTGATGTGCTTGAAGTACCTTCAGTAGGTAAACTAATATATTTAATCCACAATGGGTATTCACAAGACAGTTTAGTTGGTCCGTCGCTTCTTAAACAGCTTGTTACTCAATATTGAACGGGTATTTAACCACAAACTTAGTAACTATTTCGAAAATGTAATGTTGAAGTGCTTTTATTGTTCTTATCGTAAGGAGAAGAATAATGGTTTTTGTTTTATAACTTATGTTGACAAACACCGTTGTAATTAAAACGAGCCAGTTTATCAGTTTAATTTCCTTTCATTTTTATCAATGTTACATTTTATATTCTGATCACTATTAATTTATCTTTTAATTTCTTAAAGAGTACGTTTTTTCGCTGTTCTCTTTTATTCTATTGCTCTCTTCTTCAAAAACAATGCAAGCGAAAGGATCGTTTAGAAAGTCGTTGTTCATATTCAAATACCTCATTTTTTTTATTTTTTGCTTGTTTAGCAATACGGGGGTTTTCCCGGGACAGGGGATGAGTACGGGAGATTAATACCTGAGTTAAAATACCCCCGGGCACCGGGACGCAAACTCGGAATTATTTTGTCGTCTGTAACTTGGTTATCAGGTTGCCGAGATACGCGCGGTGTTGTGCACACGCGTTAGCCTGCTCGGCTAACCCGCCCCTCAAATACACTATCTATGGTAATTTCCACGTTTTCTCCTTGGTAACTAGTGTGAAATTTTTCATTTCGAAAATTCATAAGCCAGTAGAAATGTGAATCCCTCAAAAATTGTATTGAAGCACTTAGCGCCATGAAAACCTCTTCTAAAGAGTAGTTCTTGAACAACGGATATCTTTCGAGCTGTACTTAAATGAAAAGGTTTTTATAAATCATTTAATACAGATTCGGGAAAAATTCAATCCAATACACTGAATTTATTATATTGGTATATTTCATTAATCTCCTACATCTGTTGCATGTGTGGGATAATTGGAGCGATCATCTAGGTTTTAAACTATTTATAATATTTATGAAAACAGGGATCTATTTTCTATCCGCAATCCACTTTTTTATTCATTATAAGGGTTTATCATTCCTTGAAGATACCATTTATCAGTTGTATCATAAATATTATTATTACGTCACATCCAATTATTGTTGTTAGAAAAAAACCAAGTTGAATAAAGATTCGAAATGTATTAGTGAAAGGGCAAAGTATAATTCGCATATATGAGAAAATAGACAATTGGTGTATTTGGAAGGGTTGGAAGATGACTAGTTCGAGGGAAAAGGATAGTGAATAGCTGTAGTTGCAAGAATTGTTTCTTAAGGGTTTTAAAAAAAATGTAAGGATGAAGTAGAAAAAAAAAAAGAAATCTTTAAACTTCTTTGAGTTAACTTTTACCACCAAACTTGTTTGATAATTTAGTTGAATATGAATAAGTAATACTGTTGTGTGTAATCTACATTAAAATTTATATCAGTGAAAAAGTCATCAATAGAATCAAAACTTTCGTCTATTGTGTGGATCTAGTGAACTTAATTTTCCCGAAGAACCGTTCGTTCATTGTCGTTATTCGACAAGATTATTTTGTATATATTTTTATATTCTCAAAGAAACATAAAATAAATATCAAAATTAATAATGGAGATGTAATATTCTATTCTTAGTTTGTAGGTATCATGATATTTTTGATTTATTTATTTTTTGTATTTAATATAATATGTATTTATAATATATATTTGTATATGTAAAATATAATATGTATTTTGATGACACAAAATTGTCAGGAATTTCAGTAAAAATTTCTTTAATGAGTTAGCCGACGTTTCGACTTAACCATGTGCGTCATCATCAGGGCTATCGTTTGAATGTCGAGACTAAAACTCTTATATGTATTTTCTTTTCCGATTCCATCTTTAGAGGTCACTCGTCTTTATATCATAATAAGATAACACATTTAAATGGAAATAAACTATGAAGTAGTAACATTTAAACTTAATCTTAACTTACAACAAGTTTTTAGATAAGTATTTCTATATAAAGAACTTGCTAGTGTTACTTATAATAAATATTTGCGCCAAGGTGCCCTAGTCCACTACTTTCCAGATGCTTGCCGGATATGGGACTCCAAGGACGCCCTATCCGAGGAACTGCCCTGGCGGTGGACAGGATCCGAACAGCCTTCTTGTCCAGGAAGCGCCACCGGCCGTTGGAGGAGCGGAGGTGGGGAGCAGTCATGGCTGGGCAGCCGTGGGCTCGGCTCGTACTCTACTCCGTACTCCAGTGCCTGGTCAGATCGGCCGCCGGTTTCGTCCTCCTTCCCAAATGCTGCCCTCTGGGAATGTCCTTGCTCATCGGTTCTTCGGGGGCGGCCTGCAGCCCGGATGATGGCAATTCTACTATTTGGTCGGTGGATTTGTATTCGTACTCCTCGACGCAGTCACCGGTCAATGCTCAGTTCAACTTCAGCCATAAGCCACTGCCTTGCACAGGACCTGGCGAGAGAACCCTCCATAACGATGAATTTTGGATCTATTCGGACGGTACCATAGAGAGAAAAGGGAACGTTTACGACCCAACTACGCCTTATTGTCTCGAGTTCTTCATAGATTTCAACGAGACGTACCCGCTATTTTGTGCCGTAGAGGATTCTGACGAACCTGCCGAGAGGTACTTCTTGATGGGCATCGGCTTCTTCCTTTCTGTCCCTTTTGCCATGGCGACCGTCATCGTCTACTTGTGGATTAGGGAGCTACATTCGTTACATGGGCGTATTGTCGTCTTCAATATGTCCAATTTTATTGTTGCATCAATATTTATGGGACTAATAGCTACACGCATCATAAAATCATATGCCCACTTCAACATCATTTGTGGCATTGCAGGTATTCCATTTATTAATAAAATTATATTATTATTGCCTGTATCCAAATTGAAACAAATACTGATATTATAAAAATCGGGAACGAATCCTTGATCAGTTCTGATGGTATCTGAATCGGCGAGATACCATTAATGGTTAGTTACTTAAGGATGTTTAAAAGACATCTATGGTTTTATTTTGGAAGGGAAGGCAGAAACTTTTTAATAATATCTTCAGCATCTTAAATCGTAGAAAATATTAATTTTTGTTTCATTTGTAGAATGAAAGACAAATATTATACACACACACAAAAAAAAGAATTGGGCATAATATTCAACGATTTCAACTGCTTTTTACTCGACATTCAAAGACATTTTTTTCACGCATGTATTACTTCTAAATCCTGAATCAAATTGAATCACTTACATACACGAAATAGTAAATGTTACAGTTACTGTCATATCTATATAGTACAAAAAATAATCTGATCTATGAAAATATCATCCAGTTATCGCTGATAGAATATTTTTCTATAATTTTGTCACATATTGGTTATCTGCTACTTACCTAATCAAACTGTAACAAAGTAGGAAGATTGACAAATTTCGTCGATCTCTACATCTAAGGTAAAAGAAAAAAAATACTACGTCGGTTTATTCATTAAGACTTAAAACTGTCCCAAAATATACGAAAACCAACCAGCCTTAAATTTTAAATGATTTGATCGTCTTTCTTTTCTACAGAACGTATATTTATATCTAAATTGAACTTATAATGTATCTGTAATTTACGCAGTAGTAACGCTAGAGAATGAATGTTTCAGAATCTTATATGAAATCGTTACCACTAATCTGTTTAATAAAAGAGAACAAATAATTATTTCATAATAAGTTATGATTAAATTTAAATATTAATATTGCCTTGGAAAATTATAATAATTTATAATAGTTGGGCTATTAGTATTCTATCATATATAATCAATTAACGTCGTACGTTATTGTTCCAAATGAAGGATATGTAGCTATGTATTTTTTTCTTTTTTCGATTCTCTTCTCTGATACACATAATTCTCTGATACACTATTTGATTATCTCTTTTGCATATAATTAGGTATTCCATTAATTTCTTTATATAATATTGTATTTTTGGAATACTATCCTGACAGGATTCACTTACTAGTTCATTCATACTAGATAATGAAATATTAACATATTAAATTATTATATATTAACACATTAATTAAATATACTAGATAAATTAATGATTGAGTAACACGCAATAATGAATGCAGATTAAGTCAACGATTTCCATGAATTCGCAGATTGCATCTCCAGGTGCATTATTGTTTATTTCATCTTCTACAATTTATCTAGCGATATTTACATATCCCATTAATTTTCTACAAGATGGCCAGTATATTCAACCTTTCTATTTGTGTAAATAAGGAAAACCTAGTTTACTGTTTTAATCTTCTACTTCGACACATATTGGAAAATATATTTACCAATTTAAGATTTCTGTTATTGCTGCGCCGTGGGGTATATTCTTATCAGTCTGCGTGTAGAAGAAGCTAAGAAATAATATCTAAGTATATTTTTATATCCATACGATTTTAAATTGGTACTAATTCCATCATTTTTCTTCAAAATTGAGCCTTATTGAATGATCCGGTTTTAAAATATATGCATTTCTACAAACCAACTTTTGCGCATGTTAAAGTTAAAGTAGCTGATGGAATTTGACGAAACTGGCATTGCGCTATCTAAAAACCAGCCCTCACAATTCTTGTAAAATAGTGTGCACTGTTCTATGCTTGCATGAATTTGACTGAAAACAGACTAACACAGAACTTTTTTTTATTTATTATTTATGAAATTTACAACTGTACATTTAAAGTACATTCAGCAAGTGTGATATAGATAAATACATGACATGACAAGGCTTATAGAGAATCTACCCATTGGTAGCAATCTAATAAAGTTTCTAAATTAAGAGATCACGAGGCCATCTTCTTTTCAGAGGCCTAGGAGGTTTATCAGGGATCAAGGTGCAAGCAAGGTTAGAAACGAGAGGATTAGGATGGTTCCGAAGTTTATTATGGAAGGATAGGTATCTGGATTGGGCCAAATCGGAAACATATGGAACATTCAGGTCATTATGGATTATTTTATTTATTACAAAGTAAGGAGCATTAAGGATTTTAAGAAGGGTTTTGGATTGTAAAGATTGGATAGAAGAGGAATTCGATGGTTTAGTGGATCCCCAAAGTTCAACTCCGTAAGTCCAAATAGATCTTATGGTGCAAGTTGCCCCATCAAAATGTTTGAAAGAAGCACATTTTGCGGGTTTTGAATTTTTGACGAGGGCAAATTTGGACGAGGTTATGAATTTTAGGACAAAGAGACGAGGAAAAAATATAGAACAGAGCGTATCAATTGCAATTGTATATGATATACGATTTTCCTAATTCTACCTTAGCTTGCTCTGTTTTTAAGAAAAGATGAGCAATAAAATATCTTGAGAGAAGAGGGAGGGTTGATTCTTTCGCCATCGACCTTGGGGAAGATGAACACCCCTGTTGGTTCTTCTCTTATATTGGAATATATTCGGAAATAAGTGAGATGAAAATCTAATTAGGTTGAGAACCAACCATGAAAATACAAATAAATTCTTAATCATGATAAAAATAAAGTCGACACGAAATTGTGAGTTGTGTGACGAAGTCGAGGATTCACAACATTTCGCGATATTCTGTAAGCGTTTTAGCAACCAGAGGAGGGAATATTTTGAGGGATTGGCATTCAAAATTCCTAAAACAATAAATAGCAAGATCTAGGAAAATTAGTGTTGCCCGAAATCAGCCTATCTGTTGCAAGACCAAGACCAAGACTGGTAAAAAAAAATCGATTTTTTAAATAAAAATTGAGTCAAAATAGTTACTAATACTTGACAATTTTAGTTACTATATGTAAAGAATTGGTGTAACCAATATACTTTTGCATCAAACTTTTCTAATTTTTCATTCAGACTTAGTTAGGTTTCTCATATCTAAAAGAATACAGTGATATCTCTCTAGTAATTAGCTAATAGGTAACTGCAAGACTGCTACGAGAGTCTTGCGCAAGAGCAAGACCTAGACCACGACTGAGTTTGCAAGACCAAGAATCGTCTCGGTCTCGCATTTGGGCAAAACTAAGGAAGATACAATCGACTTGGAAAATGGACTTTAATACTTGAAGAAAACGTAAATATCTGGCAAAAAAACGATTTTTTTTTTAAATCTTAAACGCCCAAAAAAAGAAATAATAAAATAAGCGGCAAACTAATCCGCCAGAAGATCAGAAAGAACATATCGATGAGGCACTTGTATAGATATATATATCATATTACTGATAGATGGCCGATCCCTTAAGGCAACAGAGTGGCACTGGTTTCGTTTGGCCTTGTCCTTCTTTCAAGCATGTTTAGCTATGGATTTAAATTTTATTGATGAATGACAGGTTCTGTCCCAGTACCGGCTTCAACATCGATTTTTCCTGAATAAATAGCTTATTTCTTTTTTTTTTTTTTTTTTTACGAAATATTATAGTTTAATAATAGAAAATTCCATAGAGATGTATAAGAGTAAAAAGTGGGTGGATTTTTTCACACTGCTTAATGTTTTAAATGACTCATTGGGAACAGCAAAATTTCAATTAAATTGAGTGGCGAAAAGGAGAGCAGTTTTAAGATTATGGTGGTGTTAGGTTAGGACTGTATTTAATGATTTAAAAACAAAAGCTTGAAATCCTTTGGAAATCACTAAATAAGAAATTCATATAGTGTGAATGTTATCCCATCTCGCTATGACTAATGTCCATGTGACAGATTGTTGTAATACTTAATAAATAAATTTTTTTAAAATAAGATGAGATATGTTATACCTGAGGTATGCACATCTCACCTCAACATCTAAATAAAAGACTAACTAAACAGAGTTATTGCATTCCTTCAAGACAATTCAATAAATATTCTTATAACTATATTGTGCATTAATAATATGTTACTAATGTATTACCGTGAGAACTCTCACATTAATTAGATATCCTTCTTCATAATAAATTCGGCGTAAAAAACATCAGCTTCAAAATTTCCATATAAAAAATATCATTCCAATTTTTCTCTGAGGGAATGTGTTTGGTACAAAATGTATATCATTAGCTTTTATGAATAAATAAAATAAGCTGAGATTATTTTAGAGAGTTTATTTCAAGTGTTATTTTAAGTTTTACATAATTATAAACCTTTTATTATTGCAAAAAATAATATGTATGTAATAAATAAAAAGTATGTAGGGAAAGAAACTTCATTTGTGAATAACTCAAAAAGTTTTTTTTTGTTGATTGCACCCATGATTATCTGAAAAATCACTAAATTCTCTTAAAAAAAACTGAGACAAATCATCGAAATCTGACCATTGTTAGCAAAGACACAGCTTATTGTAAACGTTTTGGTTTAAAAAATTAATGTCATATTATTTTTTCAGTTTTTTACGACCAATTTCCTATGCGAATTTAAACTTCTTTGAATAAGCAGCTGAATCCCGTGCAACACTTTTCGTTCTTTTTGTTTCCGAATATGTTTATACCGCAGATTTATGTATTATTTTTATTTAAATTAGATAAAGTTAATTAGAAATTTTATGTTTAGGTTTATTTCGGGTAAAACTTACTGAAACCTGTGTCCCCAGTAGCGAATCCAGAATTTAATTTTGAAGGGATTTTATTTTTTTTTAACGGTGATGGAAAAACGATACATTGCTTATAACAAAACGGTGTTCAAGTATTCATTGAAGGTAAAAAGCAAAACAAAACAAAAACGCTAATTGCAGAAACAATAATACTTTTAAAAATAAATTTCTTATATTTTTTCTTAGATCGTACTTAGATTTATATCTGTATAAACACTACAATTTAAAAATAGAATATATTGTGATTGTTTAAGTATTTAGTTTAAATCGCTTACATAAACAATTATTAACCAATGAAAAAAATATATATTTTGGAGCTTCAACCCGAAAGTCCTTCTCTTCTCCACCTCCCATCATCGAAATCAGACCATTATTAGCAAAGATACAGCTTATTATAAACTTGTTGGTTTAAAAAATTAAAGTTATTATTTTGTCATTTGTATATGACCAATATTCTACGTGAAATATTCGCACGAGCCAACCATTATTATTTATTCGACACTTGATTTATATCAAAACTTAAATTTAAGATATTTCTTTCCTTTACAGGTATTCGATTAAATTACCTTCCTGACGTCCTTTTAAGATTCCTAGATATACGAACTCTCGCGTCTTCAACGGAATCGGTATCTGTCATGATTCGGCCTTCGATATAAATAGGACCAGTATGGGTTTTTCGTATTATTTGTTCAATCAACATGTCGTTTTTTATTGTTGGTTCCAGCTAACATTTAATCGCTTCCCGAGGCTACTAATGATTTATTATCGATGAATCTGAGGTGGTTTGTCCGTTCACCGTCGACATTTATTCATCTCCCTTTCCAAGCACGCTAGCCCAAGGTTGCTAAAAACATCATTCAAGATGCAGCCGTACTTCGTGCAATGCTTACGAGGCGTCTGAAAACAAGATGGCCCCGTGATCTCCTAATGTAGACATATCATTAGAGTGCTAAAACATTAATTCTTAATATACATAAATAAACAAAACATTAATAAAAAGTCTTAATCTGTCTAGTAAATAAATCATTAATCATGTTTTATGAGTTATTAACTGTCTCTTCAAATTATGAACTACCTCCATTTGGTTAGTTTTTTTTAGAATCTAGATGTGAGATGTACTATCATCTCTGACAAGCATACATTCTTACCTTCTCTACCCCGATGACTTGATAAGCAGCATAAGATTTACTGGTTAGATATATACTATTATTCGAGAGGCAGAAAGTGTTTGATTATATTCCGATAATATCTTAAAATCTTGTAAATACTCATTTGCTTTCTACTTGGATCGTAAGATAATTTGATCACAAAATCGAGAAGACAAGTGACCTTCAAAAATATTGAGCCGTTTACGTGACCTACACTCCCCAGATTGTCAAAATAATAAGTTGCATGCGCCAAACGGCTCAATATTGTTTAAGACCACGTTTTTTCTCGACTTTGTGATCAAATTATCTTACTATCTAAGTAGAAAGCATATGGATATTTTCGAGTTTTTAGTACCTAATTAAATAGACAAAGTTTGCCGACCTCCAGATTGAAAACAATTCAAACAAGAGTTTTTGTATATAAAATAGTTGTAGGTTACGATGAGATGGAGTTTTTTACGAACTTCAGGCGGGTGTTAATAATTTGATAAAAAAGAGTTTGTACCACGAACTATAAATTAAATGGTCTAGAAATATGCCGCTTCACCGATAACTAAATTAATACCATTTTCAAATAAAATCAAAATAATTGTTTCAATGTAACTATTTACTTCAAATTTGTTGGATGTGCTACTGGGAAGTTGCAAATAACATAAAATAATAAAATAACTTATAAACAAATAAACTTTGTAAAAAAAGAAAAATAAATAAAAAATAACACTTTTGAATTTTATTTCTAATAATTAGTTTTTTATTCTTGAATATATTAATGAATTAATGACTAAAATATGATTAGGGTAAATTAAATATGAGTTTTCAAAAATTTTGCTGTTCAAAAAATATTACAAGGAGATTCCACTGCTATCTTGAAAATCGCGTCCGGATTCTTATGCAAATCCGTAACCAAAAGTACAATACACTTTGACATTTCAAAATGTCATTGAGGAATATGATATTTCCTTGAACTTCAATTCATATAAAAATTTAAAAAAAAAAATATGATTTTTTTTTACCTATGACAGTTTCTATAAAAATCCTGATCTTCAAAAAATAAATAAAACAGTCTAATATTACCTAATAAAAAAAAAATCTTCAAATATAAAGTAAAATATTTGTCATTGAAGAAACTTAAGCTATTAGTATATTTAAAAAAAAAAATGCTATCTTAATTTGTTTATACATACTATTGTTTTCCTACATTTGCCCATCTATAGGACGAAACGTAGTAATCCTGAGAAAATTTAAATTTTCAAAAGTGAAACTCTCAATTTATAACGTCTTATAGATCGATCCTTCCTCTTATAATTTTTTTTAGTAACGATCATTAAAAGCTGACTTTCAAATTCGATTTACAGTGGATTAAAATTGAAATTTGATGCAAAAATGACAAGATATAATATATAAATTTAAAAATACCAAATATGAACTTTAAATATGACCAATCTACACTATACCTATGAATATACTCATAAGTTTATATTTCCACAATGTTTAAATTTTTCCTTGAATTGCATCTACAATTATATTTTATCTCGTTTTTACTCGTATCCTCGGCACCATGCTGAACCTAGCAACGTGAAAACCACTATTTTTTTTTAAAGACAACGTAGCATTCTTCTATTTTTTTTTTAATTACTTCAGCAGCTGATGCAGTCGTGTGATAACTGATTGTGGATCATATCAACCGCATCTGATTGCATCTGATCAACAGATGCTATGTTGCCTGCCCTAAACCAAATGTCGGAGTAGAGGATCTAACACTACTTGGCTGAATAGATAATTTATTTTATCGCATACGTTTACAATATATTTAATAAACGTAGACGTCTGAGCTTTCTTACATATATTTCCCTATTTAATAATAATTATTTCTATTAATTAAGTTATAGGCTGGATAATTATTTTGACATTAGTTATCTTATAAAAAAAATAGTACTCTAGTTAAATTAGTTTTTAATTTAATATAACGAAGCTATAAGGGTTAAGCTTAATTTTGAGTTTTAGCTTGAGTTTGGTGGTCAATTCATTTAACTTTCTGAACTTACTTCTCATGTTTCTTGGACAAAATTTCTTCTAATGTTTGTCTTCAGAAACTATAAGATTAAGTTGCGAATTCATAAAGTAAAACTTTGAATTAAAATTGTTTATTTTTTTTTTCTGTCACGTTGTCAATTGCTAATGATAATTGAAAATAAATTTTTTTAACATGGTTTCGACTTACTCCATTATAATTCAATCTTAATTGTTTTTTTATTTTGGATTCTTTAAATTTATACTCTGTGATAAGATATCATAATCAGCTATAACGTTTTGAAGTAATATGCACAATAAAAATATATTTTTCATAGTATTAATGAAAATGAATACAGTTAGAGAATTACATTTATCTGTTTAGGTACCGAAAACTGCTCGAGTTATTATGATTTTTATTCGGTATTTCTGTTTTGTAACACAAGGACATTGTATTCTCCCCAAGAAAGATTTCTCATATAATCTAGGACGGAAAGAGGGTAACGATTCCATTGTAGATATCTTGAAATAGTATAATGGGTCACTATTTCTTGAGAAAACATCTCGGTATATATAAGGTCACGATATTTTCATCCATGACCAAGTATGGTCAAAATGTCCAACTTGGAAAAATAAATTTTTTTTTATTTTATTTATTAATTGCACCATTTAAGTCGTCAAGGTATTAAGATAAATATACGATAACTATAAATTATAAGCGCTCGAAATACTTTATTAAAAGGTTGCCGAAATTCATCAACACGGAGATGTGAATAAATATAATTAATTATTATTCACCAGTTTCATCAGCAACGAGTTACCTTATACACACACATTTGATCACTTAGTCTTACTTTATTTTATTTTATACACCAACATTTCAGCCCCTTAGGCCATTTCAAAGGGAAAAACCTATTTTAAACAATTTAAATTAATATGGACTGAATTGCCTTTGTCAAACACAACTTACTTAGTCCGTACTGATTAGTATGGATGAGTATTGACTAATTAAGTTATGTTTGATTAGGCCGATTCAGTCCATGTTATTTTTATTTGTTTAAAATAGATTTTCTTCTCTTGAAAATGGCCTAAGGGACTGAAACGTGGGAGTAGAAAAAAAAATAAAGTAGGATTATGTGATCAAATGCGAGTATTTATTATTGCTATTAATCTGAAGTATTATTACTAAGTTTGAAGACATATGTTTAATACGTATTATATTTCATTTATAAAATATATGGATGGCCTGGAAGAAGACCGGCACAGCTCGAAAATTAAACGTTTGCATAATGATAACCATCTTATTAATAATAATAACGTACGTTTGAAAAACTTTTATTTAAAAGTTCTGTCGATTTCGTTAAAAATTCTATGTAAAACATAACTATTATTCATAACTACTCAAACCAACGACACATTAGAATCGCGTGTAATTCATTTAAAACAAATTATAACACTGATCAAATCCCAATTACTGTTTATTTTTTATTTAACGGAACTTTTTTCAAGAACATGAATAGATAAACGTTAAATTTTCAACATTAATCTGGAACTTTATTCCAAAAAAAGTTCCTTAAAATTTCAATTTTGAGTACTTTTTTCTAAAAAGTTTCACCTGGATAAAAATGAAGACAATCTACAAAAAATAAAGTTTTGAGTTTTATCGGCATTCTTCCAAGCTAACTAAAAAAAATCGGGTATATGAGTGGAGAAGTCGTTGAAATTCATATAATCAGCACCACAAAAACCATACTTAGTGAGGAACTTTTCAGAATTTCTCCAAACGTTCATGGTGTATTACGATTTGACTGGACTATTTCTTTCTTAATGCATATTGCTCTGTTTAATTGTGATTAATTTATCTATGTGATCAATCTTTGGTTATAGCAGAGAAATCTGCCATCGTTGGTCTACAGTTTTGCGATTTTGAGAAGTCCTGATGATGCCTAAATTCGCTAAATCCTCTTTGAGATATTTAAGAATTTATTAGAATCTTTATCTAATAACTATAAATTAAGTTGGTGGTCGAAATCCCAAGACCCAAACAATACGTTTTATATTCACTTTGCTGTGTATAAATATATTTATATAGTATATTTATATATATATGTGTGTGTGTGTGTGTGTGGTTATAGTATTGCGATCGTTAAACATTTCGAATCCAAGTTTTTAACGAAAGTTTTAACAGCCTATATAAAAAAAAAACAAAAAAAAAAAACGAAAAATCGTACACAACTTAAAATATTTGTTGAGGATAAGTACCTCTTTTTATCATCGACTATCTACATTTTCACAATTTTCAAGATTAAATTTTTTACATCAATCCAAAATAAAGTGATCTATATATGTATATATAATTGATTAGAAACTGATTAAGAATGGTCAAAAGACCTACATTCTCAAATTGTAATGTAGATTTATGGAGACTATATGAAGTATTCAATGCACGCACTTTAAGAGTTTGTTGATGAACCAAATACTAAAAGCGATCTGTTTAG